AAACATTGTTTTGTCAGTTTACATTCTCTTTGCTAACACTCATATTATTTATCTTTTTAAAATTCTTTTACACTTTCTTTTTTTAAATCTTTGATAAGTTAGAGTTATATACTATCAAAAATATAAATCAATAGTCGAAAGTATTGAATTAGGTGACTTACAATTTTATTTTTTTTGTGTTTCTTCTTAAATTTTCAAGTATTACATAAACATATTAAAGTATTGTTATACCAACTTATCAATTTATTGTATCAGATTCTATAGTTCTAACTATTATCTTTATGTAATGTTTGTCAACTTACTTTTATAAAATTATGTTAACAATTTATATAATGATTGTCTAGTAAAAAATTGTTTCTCAACGTTGTCATAAAATCTTACCTAAGAATAAAGTGATTAAAAAACGATATTCGAAGAAATCATTTTAACAAAAGATGTTAAGTAATAATTTGCATTTTAAAAGTTAAGAAAATAAACAACTACATATGAAGTTTATATAGATTTTAGGCATCTAATTAAAATGAACAACGGCTAAGCCGCTAGGTTAAAATCAACCAATGTTTGAACGCGGAGTCTTACTTTCTAGGTCGTTTGTCTTACTTACCCCCACCCTGGCTCTTTGCACATCCTTGCTTATATGTTTTTCTATCTGTTATTTCCTCTTTTGCAGTTAGTGTAAGTGAAGTTGAAGCATTATTTGAGCTGTTCAAGATTATTAGCAGTTCGGTGATTGATGATGGGCTAATAAGCAAGGTAGTCTTCTATTAACCACCCAAACAAAGTCAATATGGGGTTGTGACTTTGTGCTGCATCATCCCAAATGTATTATAGGATAATATTGTTTTCCTTATGACGAAGTACTTGTTTTTGTTTTTGTTATGCTTGTGAAAATCATGTTGGAGTTGCAGGAAGAGTTTCAGTTGGCTTTATTCAAGAACAAACAGAAAGAAAATCTTTTTGCAAATCGGGTACGTATAACTTTGATATGGAGCATGGTGTTTTTTTTTTCCTTTGATAATATTATGCTGGTTTGTAACTGACAGCTTGCGTATGCTTCAATAATTTCTTTTAAGTAAAATTAGCATAGCGGTTATAGCTTAATATGTTGTGTCAGATAACTTGTATAGTGGTTCATTAAAATGTGGATTAAGTTACGGAATGTGATGACTTGACAATTAGTGAAGCTGATTAGATTAAATGTGAAAAGCTCAGAACTATTCTTTTGATGGGATATGATATATTAATTTGCCTTTTTGTATGCAGATTTTTGATCTCTTTGATGTAAAGCAAAAAGGAGTAATTGATTTTGGTGATTTTGTTAGAGCACTTAACGTTTTCCACCCAAATGCCCCACAAGAAGAGAAGATCAATTGTAAGTGAAACAAATGAACTGTCTAGTTCATCTTTTTCTATTCTTGGTTACAGAGAGGCACGTTGAAAATCCATCTTTCTGTTGTTGCAGTTTCATTTAGGCTTTATGATATGGATGGCACGGGGTTCATCGAGCGACAAGAGGTATGCTCTAGTTAGTTTGTCTATGTTGAAAATGATCTACAAGAATCTTGTTATATATATTTGGTTTGTTGAAGAGTCGGAGTCTGTCACATCCTCAATAAATAGATAAATAAACATCATGATGTTTACTGATTCACATCATGCTTTTATTGTCTATCCAATATGTTATTTGTGATTTTGGCAGGTTAAGCAAATGTTGATTGCACTTTTAGGTGAGTCTGAGATGACGTTGGATGACGAGACCGTTGAGATAATACTTGATAAGGTAGTTTACTGATAATGACCAATTATAAGTTTCCATTCTCACAATACACAAACATCGGTATCTGTGTATAATAAAATGTTAATGGAACCAATGCATAATTTATTCTCAGTGTAATGAATAGTTGGCTTCTTGGTCAACCAAGAATAGAATACTGCAAAGCTTTTACTCCTAATAATCGCGTCTTGTGGAATTTTAATAACTAGTCAATGTGTAGACATTTTTGGAGGCAGACTCAAATCAGGATGGAAAGATTGACCTATCTGAATGGCACGACTTTGTGGGCCGAAATCCTTCATTATTAAAGATAATGACTCTTCCATATCTAAGGTATCAAGTTTTGATACAGATCATATGTTGCGAAAACATACATAGGATGCCTTAATCTGATGAGTTTTTTTCTTTTTTTCTTGATGCAGGGATATAACTACTACTTTCCCAAGCTTCGTATTTCATTCTGAAGTTGATGAAGCTGCTACCCAACTATGAAGTATAGTTGAGGTCGATTCTCTTTCTCCTTACTCTGGTCATTTATTGATGCACCTAAGTTTGGTTGGGGAGTTGGAGCTCTTTTTCTAGAATGTAGAAAAACTAAAGGCGATCGATTAAAATGGGAACAATAGTGATTGAATCAAGAGGTTAAGCGAGTTTCCTGTTATACAGTTCTTTTGTTAGCAATATCCTGCCATTTAATGGTGAGCAGGATAGTGACGTTACATTTCAAACAGTTTTTGTTTACTGTTTTTTCTTGCGTAGCATAACTGTACTGTAATGAAAAAAGAAAAAGTAGTTTCAAATTACATGTTGCTTATTTATTGCTTCAGCTATAGTTTTATTTTGTTGCGGTTACTGTTCCTTTTCTTTGTATGCTTTAGAATGTTTACCCTGTTATATTATTGGTGACGTCTTTTTCTCCTTTTAAATCTACTTTGATATGTGTTACCTGGCCGAGTGTCTTTCGGAAATGATCCATTTACCTTCATGAGGTAGGGTACACTCTAGGTGGGAATTTACAAGGTATATTGTTGTTAGTTGTTTTGAAGAATTCAAGTGATAGTCACTAGCTGTGTTAAGATTTTATTGCATGTTTTCGTCGGTCATTTTAATCATTTACCAATTAATGTTTATTATAGAGATTTACGTATAGGGTAAGTGAGCGGATTGTGTAAATATTTTTTAGATTGGCCGTGCATACAATTTTAACGTAGAACAATTGGTCTACCACATTTAATTTCATGAAGTTAATCTTTCCCTAAGACTTCTCTTGACCACAAAATTCCCATTCTTTAACTTTTTTATTCTCATTATATCAAGTTGGTCCAGTTTTATCTCTACCCCTTTTAGCCTGCTTCCCCACCATTAATCTTTCTGGTGAGAGGAGGCAGGTTTTTTCTCCTCTTATATTTTCATCATTTGCTTCAATTCCATTCACCAGCAAATCCGAGCTCGAACACGACATCAACCACTTCCTCGCGGGTGATCTTGTTTCACGTATCAAGACCGTGCACGAGCTCTCCTGCCCTGGTGTTGTATCTTGTGCGGACATCGATCCTCGCCTCAGCCACGAGAAATCTCATCGTTATGATCGGTGGACCTAACTATAAACTTCCTCTAGGTCGAATAGACAGCCTTGTTTCCCAAGCTACAAGTGTAGAAGGGAAACTAGCACGTGCAAATGATACAGAAATTCCAAAGTCTAGACTTCAACGTCCAAGAAATGGTTGCATTAGTTGGAGGTGGACATATTATTGGATTTGTTCATTGCAAGGAGTTTGCTAACCGGATATTCGCCAAATCCGACCCAACAATGAACCCGAAACTAGTAGATAGACTCAGAGGGATATGCGCGAATTGTTGGGTTTTAAAAGGTGTGAATGGAAAATGAAGAGTTGCGACTTTTATGAAGAGTTGTGACTTTGATGAAAAGTTGTGACTATTATGAAGAGTTGTGACTTTTATCAAAAGTTGCGACTTTTATGAAAAGTTGTGACTTTTATGAAAGGTGGTGACCTTTCCGAAAGATTGTGACTTTTCAAAGGTTTGTGACCTTTCCGGTAAGGCACAATAAGAACCTTTTCACACTACCCTCTGTTTTCTATAAATTGAGGGATTTCCTCTCATTTTAATAGGAAAAATTTCTGGACTTCTTCTTCTACTACTAAATCTAGTATTCTAAGTGTACTTTACTGCCGTTGAGTGGCTCGCTGACACCAGCGTTTTGGGTATCAATACACTGGTGATTGAGATCATTCTATCCTGGGAGGACATATTCCAAAATCAAAACCTCGGATACTAGAGGGGAATAATTTCCTTAAGGGGACACTGTGCATTCAGTGGGCTTGATCTTCTTTCTGTTTTTTCCACATTCTGGTATGTGTTACAAATTTTAGATTTGTGAATTAATTTATGTTCTTCTGTTCTTCACTGGTTCATTAAACTTTGGTAACTTCGTGTTTCTGCAAAGTTTGTTGGAATCAGTAAGATTCTTTAAACACAAATTGACAACAATTCTTCTTTAAGAAAAAATATTTCGTATATTTTTTCTAATCTGTTTCTGATTCTAGTTTCTCTACTAGTTTTAATTTTCTAGTTGTGAAAATGTTCTTAAACTTTATTGTGTCTTACCAAGTTCTTCAAAGTTTTGTTCTAAGTATCTTAGGAATACAAGATAAACAACACGAATTACACAACTAATCCAGACATGGCAGCGTTTCATGACGTGATTACCCCTGGGACTTTTGACAACATGTTGTTCAAGAATTTGATGAATGGTTTAGGAGTTCTTGGTTCAGTTCAATTGCTTTTGAGTGATCCAAGGACAAAGCCATTTGTTGAGAAATATGCAAAGGATAGCTTGGCTTTCTCTGCTCATTTTGCTCGTGCCATGGAGAAGCTTAATGTTTATAAAGTTAAAGTTGACAATCAAGGAGAAGCGAGGAGGAGATGTGATGCACCTAACACTTGTAGGAAATAAACGGATTCCTAAGTAGTTTAGGATTCCTTAATAGTTTAGAATTTTTTATTTATGGTATTTTCTTATTTATGTTTAATTAGGATTTGTTAGTTTTTATAGTTTCCTAGTCCTAGTTTACTTTGGTTGTTGGTATTAGTATTATAAATTGGGATGCCTTATTACATATTTTCAATGTAGTGAGAGATACATTTAATGTGTAGAGAGATACACTCTATGTGCAAAAATTACAAGAGTCATTAAGTTATCGAATCAAGCTATGGCAGATGAAGATCAAAGCAAGAAGAAAACAAACAATCCCAAGTCTTATCAAGTGAGGAAAGAATGCATAAAGAGGAAATCAATGGAGCTTGCAACTCTCTGCGATATCAAGGTTTGTACTGTTATTATTGGTCCTAATGGGGAACTGCAAACTTGGCCTGACAATTTGGATGCCTGTAAAGAAGTTCTTGATCTCTACTCTCAAAATCTGAAACCCGAAAAGAAGCACAAGGAATCATCAACACCAGTACCAGAACCAGAAGAAGAACAAGGAGAGAAAAATCTCTTGACGCTAGTTGAATCAAAGCTTGCTGCTGTCAACAAGAGAATTCGTTTCTTGGAGAACAAGAATGTTGTTGTTGTTGATAAGGGGAAAAGAAAGATAATTGAGTGATTTATTTGTATGGATTTTTTTCGGGTATATTTTCTAAATGTTTTAAAGATTGGGACCGTATGTGTTTTTTCTTGTTTGTCGAGGATTTACAGTTGAAAGATTTATCTTTGATCTGCAGATCCTTTTTTCCTTTGTAGTGTTTGTTTTATCAGTAGTTGATCCAATATGAATACAACTCATATTTTACCGTTTAAAAAAATTTATTGAATAAAGCCGCCTACCTCTTATCTGTTGACTAATAAGTTTCTTCTATATAACCATTATTTGGTCTTTCACTTGTGCATATATCAAATTCCACATATCTTGAGTAATTTTATTTCCTTCAAATTGGTATTAGAGCTTGTGTGAGATCCTTATAAAATCCTTGTGAGAGATCCTGATAAAAACCTTGTGTGTGATCCTTTATAAAAGCCTTGTGTGAGATCTTAATAAAAATCTTGTGTGAGATCCTGATAAAAGCCTTAATGTCTCGTTTTTGTGTTTGATGGCAAAAATAATTTTGAGAGTTGGTATCAACAAATGAAAAGTTTTTTCAAAACTGTTGGACTATGGTCCATTATTGATATTGAATTCGTGGATGTTCCAGAGGACACGACATTGACCGGAGAAGCTGCAAAACAATTGGAGAAAAATAGAAAATTGAATTACAAGGCACAATCTATCTTAATTGCAAGATCAAATTGCATGTATATAATAAAATTTTATATGCTAAGTCATCAAGGGAGGCTTGGATAATTTTAACAAAAGCGTATCGATGTGAAGAGAAAAAAACTTCAAGAGCTTTGGAAACAGTTTGAATTGGCTCAGATGAAATCAACAAAATCAATCAAAGATTTCTTTACGAGAATTAAAGAAATTGTAGATGACCTAAAGATCAATGGAGAAGTATTAGAAGAAGTTAAAATTATTGAAAAGATATTGAATTCTCTATGTCTAGAGTTTCAAACCAAGAAAAATGATATTGAGTCTACTCGAAATCTGAATACCTTGAAGCTTGATAATCTAGAAGGTGAATTGGTGACATATGAGATGTCCCTGAATCAACAGATAATAGAAACATTTGATGAAGCGTTGCAAGCAAAGCGGAGTAAACCTAATCCAAGAGAAGAAATATCAAACTAGGTTAAGAAAAATCAAAGATGTCAAAATTTCAGAGGTAAAGGACGAGGAAATAGAGATGTGATAGTAGAGGAGGAAGACCAAAAGAAAGGATGATCAATTAAAGGAAAAGGAAGAATCATCGAATCTGAAAGAAATATATGAAGAAGATCAGAGTTTAAAAATTATCAAGAAAGGAAAAGAAGACTGAGATAATTATCATTGTGGTATAAATGTCTTTGATTGCAAAGAAGGCTTCAATAGTGGTCAATCTAACAAGTCAATAATTTCTAAAACAACTAAACAATTTTTTTTTGGTGGAAACTGATGTTGCTTCTATAGAGGCTAGTAACTTAAGCCTAGAAACATGTGATAGACATGATTGGTCTATACAAAGTGAAGCTATTGGAAAAGAAATAGAAATATTCACTAATGTCTCACAAGAAAAATTAGTTGAAGCTTTTGAAGATGAAGCTGGTAATAAAATAAGCAAAAATGTTCACCAAGAGCAAGTTTTTGATGATCTACCAAAAATTGAAGCAAAAACAATTGAAGTTTTAGATCCGCAATTGAAGTGCATGACTCTGAATAGTAAAGATACAATCAACTCTGAAACATTATTTAAAATTATAGGTTTTGAAGAGCATGAGAAATTATTTGTTGAAAATCCTACTCTACCGCATACACAATCAACTGAAGCCGAATGGACATGCAAGATCAAGTACAAATCAATTGGAGAAGCAGATGATTTTAAGGCAAGAATAGTTATTTAAGAAGACAAGAAAAGAAAAAAGCATGATGATGAAATTTTAAAAATGTTTAATATGAAAAATGCCAAAGGTGTTGATGTAACATATTTCAGAAAGTTAAAGAAGATGCTAGGCATAATCACATTTGATGATCTTGGTTTAAGGGAGGCTATGTAGGAAATAAATTAAGATTAGGATTCCTAAGTAGTTTAGGATTCCTTAATGGTTTAGAATTTATTATTTATGGTATTTTCTTATTTATGTTTAATTAGGATTTGTTAGTTTTTATAGGTTCTTAGTCCTAGTTTACTTTGGTTGTTGGTATTAGTATTATAAATTTGGGTGTCTTATTACATATTTTCAATGTAGTGAGAGATACATTCAATGTGTAGAGAGATACACTCTATGTACAAAAATTACAAGAGTCATTGAGTTATTGAATAAAGTCTCCTACCTACTATTTGTAGATTAATAAGTTTCTTCTATATAGTCATTCTTGGGTCTTTTACTTGTGCATATATTATTACCTTGGGTAATATTTTTTCCTTCAACACTGTTCACCTGTGAAAAGTTAGAGCTAAGGAGAAACAACGTTTTACTTAGCATAGGGCAAGGCGTAAGCCTCGAGATATGGGACGTAAGCCCGATGAAGCTTTAATTTTTAATTTATAATATAGTATAATAATATAATAACACAACATTATAAAAATCCATCAATAGTTTGAAATAATTAAAAACATGATTAAGGAAACTCATAGAAAATAAAACTTTTAACATGATTATACAAGTATAAATAATCTGATATCTTGACTTTCTAATAATAAAAGAATCATTATTTCAAAAAATATATTATTATCATACTATACAATTTTCCCACTAAAAGAAAATAATCAATAAAACTTACTAGTACTATTATAATAAAAATATCACTCCACCATGAATAAAAATAAAATTACTTTCAAACAGCTAAATACAATATGATAATTTTGAGACATATACAAAAACATGAAGACTATTGATAAGTGAAAAAGTAAAATTTCGGCATGTATTTTTAAAAGAAACGTTACGTAATATATAATCACCCTCACAGTGTTACCAAATAGTAAATATGCGATACTTACAACTTGTTATTTGAGTTACTCTCAATCTTTTTATTTTTATTGATTAAAAAAACTATTAAGTAACATTCATTTATCCAAGGACTATGAGGGTCAACAATGTTAACTAAAGAAATTATCACATAATTTGAGTAAGATCTAGTAGGCGAGCCCCGAGTGTTTGACATTGAGCGTGCTTAGGATGTACAGTTAGACGCTTAAGGCATAAGTATTACAGAACAAAGCCCCACACTTGAGTCTCGAAACGTTTTACTAGATCCTCGCCCCGGAGGCGAGTCCCAATAGAGTCTTTTATAACACTGATCTTGATACGGTAATTCACGATCTTCTTTTGCTTCAAATTATACAAGTTTTCTTCTCATCTTTTCTAGTCCATTTCCCATGACTTCCGTTTTAGTTTTGGAAATGTACTTATATTTTCTTAATTAAACTAATCAAATCATTTGGTATCATGCTAGTATTTTTATACCCTCCATCTAATTTTATATTAATGATTTTTTTCTGTATCTAGAAATAATTTAATTTTAAATTTATCATTTAGTCTTTATGACATGATTTTATATCCATAAAACTGTAATGGCAAGTTTGAAGATTACGAATTAAAAAATCTCTCTTTATTAGGCTAATTTAAACACATTTACATAAAATGAGATTGTATGGAAAAAAATGCGTCTAACAAAATAACGAATCGCATCACGGCACATAATTAAGTCAGAATCGGAAAGACGCTTACTATACCAAGGAAAATGGGGAAGGATTGTTCCTAATGCAACATGAGGTGATTCAACACCCGCGTTTGTTGTTTCTATACTATACTTAAAAAAAATAAAAAAAAATAAAAAAAAATAAAATATATATATATATATGCAGAGGCGGACCCACATGCATCTGACAACTTTTAAAGTTTTTTTTTGTATATAGATAGTTTATAAAACGATAATATATTTGCTTGTGCACCCATATAAACAAAAGTCATATGGATGCACTGGTCGAAGTAAACACTTTGGACTGCAACTACGTGAGTTCGATTTCCGCGAGAGGTTGCAATTTTTTGCCTTTAAAATCAGTTTTTCTTAACCGTTTACCTTTTTAAAAATTGCTTTTATTAAAAATTGTTCTTCTTTATTAATTTTTATATTTTTTAAAATTATAATATTCAATATTGGTTAAAGGCAAAAAATAATAAAATTCAATATTAAAATTTATTGAGCCCTTAAAATTTAAGAGGCCTAAGCCTTTGCTAACCATACCTTGAGTCACTCCTAGCCTTACTCTTGAGTCACTCTTAGTGGTGCTCCCCTATCTTCAAATACTGGGTCCGCCTATGTGTGTATATATATATATATATATATATATATATACATAGTACTATTTAAAAGCTTATTGTTAGATATCTCTTTTATTACCAAGATCATGCGGTTGTAAATTTATTACAAAGTTCAAATTTGTTATGTTTTATATGTTTGGTAATATAGGCTTATTTAGTGATATGGGTGATTTTTCCGTAGAAAAATATCCATTTTTGTTAAACTCGAAAAACAAATCAATGGAAGTGAACTTAAACATGCAACTATTATTGTTACAGTTTACCTTCATCCATGGTTAGGTTTAGTCTTATTTAGTGATAGGGGTGATTTTTCCTTTTAAAAAATATCCATTTTTGTAAAACTCGAAGGCCAAATAAATCACCATAAAAAAATGAATCAATGAAAATGAACTTAAACATGCAACTATTATTGTTACAGTTTACCTTCTTCCATGGTTAGGTTTAATCTTATTATGATAGGAGGTGATTTTTCCTTTAAAAAATATCCATTTTGTAAATCTCGAAGGCCAAATAAATCACCACAAAAAACCGAATCAATGAAAGTGAACTTAAACATGCATCTATTATTGTTACAGTTTACCTTCTTCCATGTTTAGGTTTTGTGTGACATTATTTATTATTGGAGAAATTTCATAAATAGCTAAGAGTTAAAACATAATGAGTCTTTTTAATTAGCTATAATTTGTCTAATTCCGTAACGTAATTATA